CATTTACTTGAGCATAATTAAAAAAAAACCGTGTCTCATCGAACATTAAAAATAATTAATTAATTTTTATTCAAGAGAGATCTTATACCATATTGCTTATTCATTGTAACAGTATTCTTAAAAACTTTATCAACATTGAAAATTTATAATCGATTTATGTATATAAATATCGATTATAAATTTTTTCAAATTAATAAGTTATATATTTCAAGCAAAAATTAAAAATTTATTAACATAAATTTACATAATTATAATAATAAGAAAAATCGTATCGTTTTAAATATACATTAAATAAAAACATTGAAAAGAAAAAAATTAAATGAATAAATTAAAATGAAAAATAGAATAATGTAAAATTGAGGAATAATTAATGCTGTAAATGTGTTGACATTCATATGATGTCATATATTGGAATAATATGCAAGAATTTAGTCGATAGTATAATATTCAATATGTATTTGATGTACTTACCTCGTGTGTTATATAAATTATGACAATTACGCAACTAAATTTTGTTATTTATTCATTATTTTGGCGCCAGATTTCAAAAGTCAAAGTTTGATTGTCAAATGTTAGTTCGGCCACGAGGTTGACTCGTTATGGCGACGGTGAAACGTACCTTTACAGGGTGGGAAACGCACTGAACGCTCTGCATTAGTACGAGCAAGTTCACGTAAGGGTTGCTTAGATACCACCGCGTCTCGGAAATGTGTCAACAAAAACATATTTATTTTATCAAACAAGTGCAAAAAAGATTTATTTATTAAATTTTAATTTAAAACGTTTATTATTTAAAATTAAATAATACCAAGTTTAGAGTGTTTTTTGAAAAGCTTGAAAAATTATTGAAATATAAAAAACCAATGATATTTTAATTAATAAAAATTACAATTATTGTGTTAAAAGCTATATTTTTTTACAAGTTCCGTGTTTTAGATAAAATTAAAATTAATTATTAAAAAACAGCTATTTAAATAAAGATTGAAAACAATTCTTCCGAGTAAAGAGATCCATTTAATAAATAATGACTATTGCGAGGGTAAAATTGTTACTTCAAATGTAATGTGTATGTAATAAAAATTCTTGTTTTCAATTATATATTTGATAAATATAAGAAATTATAGACAGAAAAGTATGTATCTAAGATCAGTACGCAATTGGGGGTATAGCTCAGTGGTAGAGCATTCGACTGCAGATCGAGAGGTCCCCGGTTCAAACCCGGGTGCCCCCTCATGGATCTATTTTTTTTTAGTTTCATTTTACATGTATTCAAATTAAAAAGTAAATTCACAATTTTACAAATTTAATTTTTACCATTTTGTTGTAGTATATACTTTAATAAATATTATAAATAGTATAGTAAAATATGTATATAAATTTCATTTATTTTAATTCGTATTATTATCTATTATAAGAATATTTTTTTCTCAACAGATAAGAATAAATTATTTAACTTATTTAATTATTATTTAATTGTTATTATTTATTATCAATTATAAATTTAATTAGTAAAAATTTGAATATGAAATTTGAATATGTTCAATTTTTAAATAATATATAAGCTATATTTTTAAATTTTTTTCGGGGAAAAATGAATAATACATAAAAAAATGCATGACACTTTTATTTTTTTTAATTTTATTTATAATTTTATATGATAAATTGTAAACAGATTATACAGTGTAAATCTTGCAAAATTTGCTTGATTTTTTATAGATATAAAATTATGTCCAACAATAAAGCTATGTTATATAACAAACATGTGTATGAAAATAATACACAAATTCCTTTATTCTAAATTTTTTTTTCTGCAATTGTCTCCACTTACACTACTCTCTTGCTATTGACAATTGAGTAATCTTATAATCATACAAAATTATAGTATAATATCTTCTATCTTGATTTCTCATACTATATTAATTACATAAGTGTGAAGGCTAAGAAGAAACTTTAAGATAGAGAGAATACTTAATTTCAACATATAATTTAAAAATAGAGAAATGTACTGTAAAAAATATAGATGTATAAAGTTATATTATAAATTTAATTTTTTTTTGTGCGTCTTTGAATATTTTTGAAGATATTAAGAAAAACAAAAGGTTCATCTAAGATAATACTTAGTATCCTGTGGCTACTATACGTATTATTACAATTTCATATTTACACTAATATTGCTCTGTTGGATTCAAAATTACTTTAATTTTACATTTTTTATTATTCTATTAATAGAGTCAATGTCAGTCTTTTAACATATATAGTTTCTGCCAATATTAGCATTATTAAAGATAAGATAAGATAGCATTATTAAAGATAATTTTATAAAGATAAAATGTTTTGAGATTTAACTTTTCACAATCGCGTACCTCGCTTTCTTAGCATATTCCAACTCATCTTTCCTCATTATATAATTCTATAATATATCAACAGTCATTATAAGAGTTTAATTTTGCAGCGAATAATATCTTATAATATTTGGAAGACTTAATGATATAATCATATATAATTCATATTTTACTATCTACAAATAAAAATGAGTTTTGTGGAATATTTGTATATCCACATACAAACTTTATATTTATATTTAATCTAATAAGGCAACATGTAAAACTTGTATATAATCTGAAATATTTAAACTGGTTTTCGATATCCATTTTGTAAATGTATAGTCATAAAGAAATATAATATATTATTTTGAAAAATACTTTGTCATATATGACAGCAATAATAATGTAATACTAAAGAGATTTTGATATTTGTGCCTAACCTTAGGAAAATCGATAATATTCCGCAATATGATTCAACATATCTTGAAACGCGGTAGAAGGTGATGCACCAAATTTTTGTCTCCACAAATGCCTAGCAATGATATGTTGGCCCGATGTATGAGTAGCTTCTTGAACTTCTTCACATATTTCGATAGCACTTTGCCAAATCGTTTCTTAAAATACAGGAAGAAAATAATTACACGAAAACCATTCATATACATAGAGATAAACATACAAATGTATTATGTCATTAAAGAAAGTAATTACCGAGATTGTTGAGGAGTTTACTTTTACCCGGTGGATCGAATTTCTGTAGTTGTTCGACACTGACAATTTTGTATTGCCTCAGATTCCGTAAAGATTCATAACTGCAGCAACGAGCACGATCATTTGCTACTATATAATTTCCTGGTATTGCATGCCTTGTAATCTCCTTTAAAGCTTCTTTTACCATGTTACTCTTATCGACTCCCGTTTGTAGTTTGTCCATTTTTTGTGGCTACAAAAATTATACAATTTAAATAATTTAAAGTAATGAGACAATGGTAATTAGTTTAAATAGAATAATATTGATATATTTTTCTTATAATTAAAATAATTTCCATTAAAATATTACCTCTGGTATAGCCTCAATCATATGTAACCATACGCGAGGTGGTATGGCATTTGCTTCTGCGACACATATTATTGTGTGTGAATTATTATTACGTTTCTTGACAGAATTTATATCCGGCTGATGCTCCATCATATAACCACCAGGAAATTCATCCACAATTAATATTGCACCTTCACCGCCTAATAACCAATCCTCTGGATGTTTTTTAACATAGATTGCAGAAATTTCGTCACATCGCTCATATATCTTTTTAACAACATGTTTCTTTACATCTGCAATGACATGTACATGCATTTAATGCTGTACAACATCCTGATTGTTATGAAAGATTTATATAAATATAAGAACCTAAATAAGAAGCAGTAACGTCACAAGGAATTTTTTGACACCATCCTAGTATCAGTTGAAGGCACATTTTCAGGTCACACTTTATTCCAAAAAAGAAAGACTTCTCTCTTATGGATTGTTTTCTCATACAATTAGGACAAGACCAAATATATTTGTCTACGATTCTCGCAGGGCTCCATATTAAACTTCGTCCTTTACAATCAGCATGAGGACAATTGGAAACTGTGCAAATCAAACTCATTTCTTTCAACCAACTGCATAATTCTCCCTCATGTCCCTGTTGTAGCATCGGTCGAACGACAACGTCGAACAATCCACTGTGATCGCTGAAACGTCCTGAGCACGTTCTGCAAAAGTTTATATTTTATAAATTAAATATAATACAATAATTCAATTTGTAATGTGAAAAAAAAAATGTAAATCGTACAACGCTTTATCTCGATAATTTATAAAAGTAAACTGCCGTAATCAGCGAATGTCATTATATACAAAATGTTTTATACTTGTCATTAAAAATTTCACGACTTCGATTACCTTGAATTTTTGGCCTTTGCGTTTTTCATCATTAATTCTAAAATAATAGGCAGTGTGCTTAGCTTAACTTTTGTGTTTAACAGACAATAACGACGAATAAAAATTTGCTCACAGTAAACAAAAAGTGAACAAAAAAAAAACAATTATAAGAACCTAACGCTAACAAGAAACGATCAAATGACCGTGGCAGAATCCATTGTCATCCATACATATGTATACATGTATATACACAATTGCACTTATGCATATGTATATTAGTGGAAGCGCAAGTAGCGCACTCGTCGTGCGTTGGCAACTTTGAAAATGAAAAGCGCATGCGCGTAATGAGGCGGCACCATTTGAAATTAAACGCTAAAGATAACAATGATAAATTATTTGTAAACAATATGTAGGCTAAAAAATAAAAAAATTAGAAAAATTATGTCGAGAATTAAAAGCGGACTGAAATATTAATGTGCTAACTTACCTCTCTCAGGTTTCCTTTATAATCTTTTTTTTCCAAAAACTGCGCATCTATATCCGCACTCAGGCTGACTGACTTATCTTTTTATTTTCATCGAGAAATATTTTATGTAATAAGAAAATTTATATATTTTTTAAAAATATTTATACATCTATAAAATTTATATTTAATTTATATATATAAATTTATATACTTATAAATAATTATAATTATTTATATAATTATCTTATAAAATTTAGACAACACGTTCAAATTATCTTCAATATTTTGTGTCTTCTTTTTCCTTTTATTAAGAACACGTTTTACAAAGCAAAATCTTGTGATAGTGGAAGTTGTGGAGGCTGAATACTACAGAGTTAGTGTTGATAGATACATTTTAACAAGGTTCCGAAAAGGTGAGTGCGGATAAGGATATCGGCACATTAATATAAAAAGTACTCTTTGAGTGACAGCGTGAATATTAGGCCGACACAATCATTCATTTATTCGTTCATTCATTCATTTATTCATTCGGGATCAGTCGGTCAATCTGTCGAACAGATAGATAGGCAAACATTTTTCTACATACGCTGCACAAATACACTGCACTTTCATATGTATGCACTTGAAAGCTAAACGTATGATCTGTCTACATATAATTTTCTAGTGGAAAACAGTGCTAACAAAGGTCACTGATATCATTCAAAATACTTTATACAATATAAACAGATTATCGCTTGATGCAATAAACACAATAAAGCTACCTTCCTGTTAATTAAACAATTAACGATCAATATCATTAAACAACAATTTATACAATTTGTTTAATCATCGGTTCAATCGTTAAGCATCATGCATAGACGCAACTCCGATTTTCTAATAAGCGCACTCGTTTATGAATTTTATTTAACTATCTTTTAATAATCGTAACAAGAAGATAGCAACGGAAGAACTTGTCAAGGAATATAGCACAAATGATACATCGTATATAAACAACCTCTATAATTGATATTCCGAGGAAAAATTTCTCACGCAAAGACTACATTGCACAAAAACGTATCAACGTAGTAGAAGAAGCGACAACTTTATTATAAATATTCGATTGCAAATTTGTGTAATCGAAAGTTTGGTGATAAAGTTCAATCCTAAGTGAAATTATCTTTTTATAGGATCGCGACTGTCATTACTAACAATCTGTAAATACAGTTGGATCTTATAAAATATTTATGAACGATATTGAGATATTCAAGAAAACGAGTCATCCTTTTTTTATATTTTAGATATATTGCGTGCACACACACACATACACAACACACGCGCGCGCGCACGCACATGTACACACAAGGAAGGCGCAGTTTCAAAACTTTACAACAAAAACTTCGATCACGCCACATTCTATTTCAGCCGATGAAAACGTAAACATATTACAATACGATCCTACTGTAATAACAGTGGCAACTGGCAGATTGAACAAACAGACAGTTTGGCAGGCATGATGAACATAAAACCAAACATGTACACGTGACATTTAACCAGACTTTTTCTTTTATATCCTCCTTCTCCCTCACCCCCTCCCCTCTCTCTCTCACTTTCATTCACTCAAATTCTCTTTTCCTTTCTTCCTCTCCTCTTGCCTCCATTATTCTTATTCATTCCTATTTTCTACATCCATAAAGTCCTATAATTATGTAATATAGGCTTTAGTACTCTATAATGTATGCTAAACTAGGACTACCACTACGTCGTCTAAATACGGCGTAGCATTCTTAATTAATATTAGGAATATCGGCAGTGAAATTCCAATGACAGACGCGGCAGGCAGGCAATCAGTCCAGCAAAGTCTGTGGCACTTCCGCTGTTCTGGTGCGTAAAACAGATAAAACTGATTGTCGGGGTGCCCCGCACGTTTAATTTTTAACACATTCAGTGTCGACACACGACTGCACGCAATGTCTACAAAGATAATGAATCAAAATTAGGGAGGGGGGGCACCCCACTGCTCGTACCGAGCAATCTCGCTTTTCTATTTCCACCATGGCACCTTCATCGTCATGTTCCACCGTTACTTGACATTGTCATCTTACTCTACTTTTTTCTTCCATTGAAAAATAATTTCTTTACAATACTTGGCGATGTGTCCACCGACGAATACAGATCGCCGCGATACCTTTGCTTGCTCGATTTGATCAGAAGCAAACCGATGTTGTGTTTGAATTGTCCGAAACGAAGATTACTAAGATTATAAATCACAAATGAAATCACAGACTTTCGTTGGTGGTTCGAATAGAGAGGGGCCGTACATTGCAATTAGAACAACGTTGTAGGCGTCATCAGGAAAAGTTTGATGAGAGGCACAGGGAACTCTTCTATTTCCCTCTGCTTTTCATTCCCATCCATTCTCCTTGATCATATGTGCAAGTTCGATTATAAATTTTCCTTCCTTATATTTCTGACTTGACTCAAATGCATGCTCCTAAAAAATATCAGTAGACAATTATTAACACCGTAAACATCATACAATTTTTCTTTATTTATGACTAATTTAAGATAACGGATAACTAACATATTTCCATCCTAAGGTGGTTTTGCAGCACTCGCAATAGATATCAGCGACAGCGTGCAACCCAGTTAACAGAACTCGCTCCTCCGCGGGGCCGCAACCTACGTTCACCCTACGTAACATAATTATCATTTTTCCATTTCTGTCGTATGTGTTCTGCATTACATATATATATGTACGTATCAATCGATGTCGACACACAAAACACACAAAGAATATCCCCAAATTATTACTAAAACAATTATTACTAAAACATTAGAAAGTAAAGAAGAGTATTTATTTCAATTTCGTTTATGTTTATTACAGAACTGTAAAACAAGGAGAAATTAGTGATTTAATTTTCAAATTAAATAATTAAAAAATTAAATTTGTAAGATAAAATGGAACATAGAAACCTTATTTTTCATTTATCTTTATAGTAGTGTTTTCCTATTGTGTGTAATAATTATATTAAAATAAAACATACATATATAAAGATGTTAAATATAGAAAACAAAAAAAATATCGATTCAAATTTTAAGGAAAAATGAGTAAAATGATAAGTTCTGTTTTAATAAAAAAATTATATTAATTAAAATTAAAAAAATAAAAATAGAGTTCTAGGACATCCTGTATGCATATGTGTTATAAAGAGATAGCCAATGCCAAAGATCTCAAAGTAGTTCTATTTTCATCATATTAATTATACTTACACAGAATTAAAGAGATAGGCACGACCTTGACTGCCCTGGAAGGACTGAAAATGCAAAACAGATAAAATTTATATCATCAATGTACATAAAAAGAGACATCGAGTTAGTTTCTATTATTAGTTATTATGGAACTATTTATGTTTCCATTCGGAGCGTAAAATTTTATATGTGCTATAATAGATTCTTTTGAAATTAGCCTATCACTATTTATCAAAATATAATCGATAGTAATAGTCATAGTCGATAGAACATTTCGATCTTACAATCGTTTCGCATACCACTCGAATATCCATAATATGTAAATTAAAACGGAAAAACTAATTAAAAGAAATCTTTTAAAATAGTCCCATAACAACTATTTGATTAATTACTATAGATATATCAGATTGTTATAAAAAATAAGAATATAAATAATGTTATAAAAAAAAATCATAAAATCTTGTCTTGTATCAAACTTTGAAATATATTCGTTAATATAGATTAGCTAAATCCGTTGAAAAGTTTCTTCAATGTTCATATGATCCATCGTATTCGCAATAATTAGGAATCTTCAGTCAAAAAAGAACACGAAAAAAAAAGATTTAGCTGAAAGATTTAGAAATTCGATCTCGAGGTACGGCTTACCTTAGAGATGAGTTCGTCGTGATTGGCGAGATGAGCACGGCAGTGAATGCACGAGTAAGTGCGGTGACAGGAAGGTAGATACGCTTGAAAAGTTTTCACCATGATGGCGTGTCCAAGCGAGCGAAAACACACTTCGCCCTTGCTGCTATTCTCCTCGTGTCAGATGAAGAATATAGATCTCTTTCTTCGCCAAGAGAATTACGAGACTTTTCTTTATTTTTTTTTACCTAGATGACACGAGACTGAATTTCTCCGAAACGCGGGGTGGTGGTGCGATAGTAGCCCCGTTCACCACCGCTTCGTGCTCCGATCAGCTGTTGAGCTGGTTCAGACAGCGCCGGTTCGGGGACACCTGTAAGGCAAGAAGATTACGTTAAAGGCTAAAAAAAAAAACGCTATGCAACGTCGATTTTCATTTCGTATCGATTCTCGCTGTAACGGGATCAACGCGAGAGTATTATTATATTTTTTCTTTCTGCCGTACACACAGGCCAGTTAACCGCGCGTAAACGAGAAAGAGAATCTCTTTTAGGTATACGTATATCATAAAGAAATTGTACCGCAGAATTTAATGACGTACATTCAATTATGTTTATGTATAATTTTACATTTCGTTATATGTCGAACGCGAGTATCATGAATATGAGTCTAATCAAATATGTTATTCATATCGTAAAGGTGAGCAGGTATAATATTTACAGTAACGATTTGACATTGGTTCGGGAAGCACTGTTATAGCACGCTGCAATACACGCGTTTCGTGCCGACAGCATATCGATCGCACCTCGTGAATTGCGCGATGAATTTCTTAGTGCTCCTCTGTAAATTGCATTAACGATGATACCTAAATCGAAATAATTAGGACACCAAAAAAATTAATACAGCGCGGATGGATGTATCACGGTAATTTTATGCAAACAAAACATTTTCGTGTGCAAAACTTATTTTAAATCAACGAGTATAATTAGATTTTCGTTTATCTCTTTCATTTGCAGCAAAAAAAATGGACTAGCAACAAGGAGTGCACGACGACAGTCGCGGAAATGACGAGCGAAAGGAAAGCAACGTATGCTTTCAAAACAAAGGTAATTGCATCGATGTACTGCTGCGTATCGACTGATATGTGCCCACCACGTGCTGGCGCGCGTTCAAACAAAGAGACAAGGACGTTATTATGAATCGTTCGAGATAGAGGCTTTTTCTGTATGCGGGACGGATAGACGCGTACTTCGCTTATCCTTTTCTTTTCTTTTCTTTTTTTTTTTTTGAAGAACGGATGCCAGACACTTAGTAAATGCTAATCACAATCATCTTGTCGCGAGATGCCTACTAACTGAATCGAAACTGATTTCGCGGGGGGATTCGATTTTTTTTTCCCCCGACATTCACGCGAATGCATCTTCGAACGTCATACGACTTATTTGTTCCTTTTCTTCATGTTCGAAAATTGGCTCGTTCGAATTACAAGCGAACGAGGTAGTTAGTCTTTGTAAGCGGTAATTCAACTCCATTGAACGGAAGTGCCGGAGTCAAGTATCGGAATTTGCTCGGATTCACACGAGCGCATATTAAATTCGATCCTATCCTTACCGGCGACTGACTCGACTCACGAAGTGAGAAGAGAACGAAAACGTTTGGGAACGGGTTTCCTAACGGGACGTTCGAGAACAAAGGGAGACGGGACTTTCGAGTCAATACACTAGTCAAGGTCATTGCTACTTATTGCAGTCGCAACGGCGTCTTTTTTATTCTTATCGCGCGAATATGCGTGACGACAATTGCCCCGACGGCTTGCAACGAGACTAAGCCTCGCTCGACTTCGCGGATGAAAAACTAAAAGCTTCAACTTCGTTGAAGAAATCATTTTACTCCATATTCGCAATTCACTTTTTCAACTCTTCGTCGGATGTACTGAACCGTATCAAATTTCGTTGAACGATCCGATGTAATGGTATGAACGAGAAAAACAATTGTTCTTGTGAAACATAAAAAAATCGGCGGCAGGGATTGATGCTTTTGAGAAAAGACGATTCCTATGGCCTCAGACGGATCGAAGAGAAGTGAGCGAGGGGTTGACGACCGAGGACCGAAGTAGGGGGCAAAGCCCCCTAAGTTATTTATAAACCGCCTTCTATACAAGAGAATTTACCCGAGTCGTTGTAAGATTCACCCTTCACCCCGCATTAGCTACATTACAAACGAGGATCGAGTGGACAACGGGAGCCATTGCCCTCGCGATCGTAACGCACTGATTACGGCGCAAGGATAAGAAGATGGATCGAGTCGACACGGGAAATTCTAGAGAGCTTCGACCAGATTATCGTTTTCGATTTAAATCAGATCGAAAAATATATCCGGAGAAGATGATGAAAGATGCAAAGTGGTTCAAATGAAGCAGCAATTTAATTTCGTATATTTCCTAGAATATATACGGTAACGCTCGAACAAATGTAATACAAAGAACTGTGACGAGCTCAAGTAATCGAGTAATTTGGAAAAATACATTGCTGTGGCAACAAGGAAAAACGTTGTTGAAGAACGTGAGAGAAGGAGGGAATAAAGCGGCAAGAAAAAAAGGCGTGGCGTGGTTCTCGGACAGTGAAAGAAGGAAGATTGCAGAAAATTCTGCAATCTTCTGGCTCGATGCAAATGCGCAGATGTCGTTGATATTGGTTTGGGAGGAGGAAGAATTTATCGAAATTTTAACAGAAATACGAATAAAGGAATACGTGTGCAACAGGGAGATGAGGAAGGAAAGCGGAGCAGGCGCGCGCGGCACGAAGCGGCGATTCCGTCGCGCGCAGTCAGCTGATAGTCTGCAGTCAGCTGTAAATGTACACAAAACCGTTGTCCAACAGGTTCAAGCGCCACAACGCCACGTTCGATCGAGTCGCGTGTATAAATTGTCGCATCCGAGACTCCCGCACACGCAAGGACATCGCGCGCTGCAATTCTCTCTGGCGGAGAACTCTCCTCCCTCCTCCCGCCATTCCTCGCGAGCGCGAAGCGATCAAATTGTCGATTGTACGCGATCGATCGCACCGATACAATAATGAAAAGGCTCCTTAGTTACGTTTCAGAGAAATAATTGATCGTTGATCGGCGATTGTCATTGGTACGTACGTCTGAGGATGGAATCTCGCTCACGTGCGTCCAGCAGAAGAAAAAAAATAGAAGACTTTCACGACGTAATTTGAATAAAGAGAATATCGGGCATATAATGAATAAAGTATACGTTTAATTGATTCAGATTTAATTTTCGCCCATCCTTGTTTTTCCTATTACGCAGTCATTACGAATAATAGATTGTTTTTTTCGTTACGTTGTAGAAATTAATCTATGCAAACTTGAGAGTTAAGCCATAGAAGTTTGGAGAAATAATTGTGAAAAGTTCTAATGGAAATAGTTGCGACGTATGTAGCGTGACGATATTCAAGCATCCGTGCGAACAAAATATGTCAACAATAAGACAGAGAGAGAGAGAGAGAGAGAGAGAGAGAAGAGCGCGTGTGTATGGCCAAGATAATCGTCCCGATGTTTGTACGATATTTTTTACGACGTGACGCGTTGAATCAGCTGTGAATGTATACAAACAAGCCGATGCGCATTAT